AGAAGAAAAGTATCTTTATTTACACCCTTCAAAATGATATAAAAATATTTTTGAAAAATATATTTATAATATTTCCAAAGATATTTTCAAAAGGCGTAAATGAAAGTACTTTTTCTCTAGCAAATTTTGCGAAATCAAATGTCTCAAAACGCAAGAAAATTTTATTCATAACAAGATCCGCTAAAGATTGACGATCCTACGTACAATATCTTTTCATAAAAGTATGAAAGTTTAAAATATACGTACTATTATACATAAAATTACTTTCAAATTTCAATTAGGATAATATAATGGATTTCATGATAATTATTCTCCGCTAACGTTAAAATAAAAATATATAACGATATTAAAAGTAACAAATTTATACTACTATACTATTAATAGTACTGTTATAGTAATATATTAATATAATAAGTATATAATAATATACTATACTATATACTATATACTGTAGTAATACTATAATAATAATACTATAGTACTAAATATGAGGTAAACTTATAAATATAACTTTTCCGAAATGTAGCGTTTCCGAGTTTTGAATTAAATATAGGAAAAAGAACATGTTAGTGAAAATTATTTTAAATATTCATTGCAAAATACTTAGTTATAGTTGTAAAATATAAGTTATGCTACATTTACCGATCACTTAAATTGTATAATTATATTTTTTTTTATATAATAATTATTTCTAACTATGTAAAGCATCTTTTGTCTACAAATTCACTTGTATACGCGTGTCAATGACACTCGTGCCTTTCACTGATGCCTCCTATATACATATACATCCTCTCTTGGTGTCTTTGGTGTGCCTAACCATGAGGATAAGTTCAGCAGATGAGCTTCTTCCTCTCCTTTCTCTGTTTCTCCTTATCCGTTCCTTTCTTGTGCACTTCCTTTTTTTTTCTTTGCAAGTGGTTCACATGCATAAAATATGTGCGCAGTTCTCATCGTTTCTATACAGGCTGGAGTTCTTCGTGTCTCTATTAATTTAATTTCATAGATAGCACTTCCTTGGGAATTCATTTTCCATTTCAAATTGCACAAAGAGGAGGAATGTGCATGATCCAATTAAGTTCGCTATAATTTGTTATCTATGTTATCTATCTTGAACTGTCGCCGCGTAAATATTGTTGTTAATATTTTCTCTTTACTGAGAGCGTTATTACATGCTGATAAAACACATCATTAAAAGGAGTACGCTATCTATTTTCAGTCTTAGATGAACATAATTCAATATGCTGTAATAAACAATTAAACGGTCAATTAATTCCCATTAATATATGACGTCGAATTTTTTAGTCTTTCTTAAGAGTAAATATTTTGAGTTTTCTATTCTTTTATCGCAGTTTAGTTGACTGTGTGGAATAATCCATTTTAACAATAATATTCTACTTAATTTCAAATGTAAAAACAAGAAGATTACATGAATATTTTCGTAGTAATAATAAATGACAAGTCTTACTGCATTAAAAAATAAAATCCTTCAATTTTATAAACTACTTACACATACTTGAATTGTTTCACCTTCTTGATATTATAATTTTTAATTTTCTAATAATTGTTGTAACTTTGAATCAGAATAAAATTGCTCATTTTATGTTTCAAATTTCAGTATTTGACAGTATGTTATATCATGATTGATAAATATATCATACAATATTTGTTTTTATTGAACTTTCTCCAACGAGAAGGAAAAATGTTAGATAACCTATAAAGCAGAATTTTGGTATCTGTGATGCGAGTTTATTAATTGCTGTTACATAACTTGTTAATCTTATGTGTTGTTTGATTGAACTTTAAATGAGTTTCAAGTAAAGATTTTTTAATAATCGTACAGAAAAAAGTTTCACATTACAGTATGATACTGCATGATAACTTTTATCTATTAAATGAAGCAGAAATTTTCCTTATCACATTATAAATTACTTTATAATATCAGTATTATTTTCACTTTATAATATCAGAAATTTTCCTTATCACATTATAAATTACTTTATAATATCAGTATTATTAATTGATAAAGCAATCGTTTTATATCCAATTTACTTACAGATAAAAAGAAGTTTAATTAGTTACTTGGAATTAAAATTAATTTAACTAAAGATTGATTTAATTAAACCTAATTTGAAAAGACAAACCAATTTACAAAATTCAGATTTTTAAAATAAACAAATGTGATTATATTTCATATTTCTTATTCTACAATTATTGTTTTGAAACAACTTTTCTTTCTTTTCAAATATTTACAAATTCTAGTAATACTTATTCTTATATAATTATACTTATTCTCTAAATAACAATTAGCTTTAATTACCATTAAGTAGGTATTAAATTGCTTAATGAATTATTATTAAATAATTATTACTATGAATAAATAGATAATTTACTATCTATTATATTCATACTTCTTTAAATATTTGTTGTGCTAGAGATATATTTATTAATTTATATCAATAAAATATACTTTATACAATATACAGGGTGTTTCACGAAAACTAGGCCACCTGAATATCTTTTCTATTAGTGATAGTACGAAAATTTTTCCTGACTGAACTTAAACCGATTGAAGAGACGAATCGGATAGAATTATTTTTTTAAAAATATCATTTTTTAATGTTTTCTTCAAGCTCATTGGTATTTTTTATGTGGGGAACGTGTAGTTTTTCTTTTCCATCATGTAGCTCATGAAAAAATACATTCAGATATGTTTATGATGTGACCTTCAAATGACCTTGGACTTCAAAATTTTTAAATTAATGTTTTAAATTTTAAAAAACTTATATTGAGCGAGTTTCCAGGTTGGAACACCAATAGAAATGAATAATTTTTAGCTGTATTAATGTAAATAATAAAACGTTTTCTTAAATAAATATAATCATCGAATCGTTTTAGTATAAACTACAAACATAAACTTTTTGCGAACTGAATTTGTCATATTTCTTGATAAAAAAACTTATATTTGTGAGCAATTTTTTGATGAAATATCTTGTCATCATATCTTGTATCCTTGCAGTCTTTCTATTTTCAATCACTTTTTATTGTTCTTGGAAAAATGATGTAAGATATTTCTTCGAAGAAATAGTAAGATTGTCTGGTTTTCAGGAATTTCTGATTTATACTGCACTTTAAATTCATACATTCTTTTCTTATTTTTGTATTATTTATATTATAAATTTTATGTTTTAGCATATAAAGAATATTTAATTGTATTTCTACAAAATATTAGAGATTTAATTTGTATAAAATTATTTATCTTTCTTTGAGATACTGTTACTTACATGAAATTATACTAATTGTAAATACCAAATGTTTATACATTAATATATATACAATATATAGAGTATTTAATCATATTTAGTAATGCAATCATTAGTTTATAATTTAATATTTTGTTTAAATATATTCCATTCTGTTAATATAAATTTATTTTTGTAAATGTATTAGGAGAAAAGATTATTAAACATCAAATTTACATAAAAAATATGATAAAGAAAAAAGAATTATAGAAATATGGAATTATTATTACTAATAAAAAAATATATTTATTTATATATAATATTATTTAAATTTAGAATATAATATAATATATAATATATTTATTATAATTCACTTATATTTTCATAATTATTATATTGTTATATTATTTACATTTTTATTAATGACAACTTATTGTTTTATTGAATTTATTTCACGATTATTAACTAAGAAGTGCGAAATATTTTTTGAATAGTACTATTGCCCTAAATATTTTTATGATATTAAATTTCGTCATTATTTAATGTATTATGTAATTTATTATGCAAAACACTATGCGCATAAGCGTCAAATGAAGTTTCTACCGATTATAATAAATGTTTTAATATTTAAAAAATTACAAATTTAATTGCTATAAATGTATATATTATGAATCATATCTTCATTTTGTATTAGAGTTGTAAGATGACGTGAAGATTGGAAATCTAGAATTAGATCTTATATTAGACTCTGGTCGTTGAGTTAACAATATGATTCTATAAGTTACAAATATTCCGACAGAAATCGGTATAAAATAAAAAAAAGGACATTTTAGATGATTGAAATTTATATTTTATGAATATAACTTTTCTCTAAACAGCGTTGTTTTGAAATGTGATAAATGTAGGCTCTTATTTGAGATATTTTTCAAAGATACTTTCATTCATTTAAAAACTTTTGAACTGTAATTTTTTTTTGTAGTACTTGTCATATGAAAGACATAATCATAAGTCAATAGTGTATCTTTCACAAGATAAGTTTTACAAAATTAAGATTAAAATATTATTTAAACTAATCAGTTTTTTATTTTGTTATCTCAATACTTTTTCGTGCAAGAATGAGAGAAGATGATTCGAATTATATAAAATGTATATCCATTAAAAATAGTAAAGATTCCATTAAAAAAAATAGTAAGTATATAAATACTTACTCTTGCGAATAAAATATAGTTATGGAAATATAGCTAGTTCTTTCATCTTTTTCCATTAATATTTTTTTCTAACTTCAAAGAAGAAATTTGTGTTGTCTCATTGTCAGTTGTGAAACTAAACCTGTACAGAGCAATAATTCCTCGAACACTGTAATATTTAAATATAGTAAGAGTCAATGTCTAATTATAAGTCGTCAAATAAAGTGGTAGTTAATAACATCATCATTTTACCGCGTATTTCAAAAGAAGTTACACGCTCAAATTAAGTAAACAAAATACTTATGATTTTTCACTTTGTATATATACAAATTTTTATTTTTAAATTCTAAATTTATGAAATGATTTTATTGTGTTTTATGAAATGATTTCATTATGCTATCTTATAGTATTTTAAATGATGACACGTCAAAATTCCTCGAAACCAAAGAATATTTTGAGTTTTAAAAATTGAAAACTTTGTACAGTAGAACCTCAATTATCTATCCGAACTAATTTTGTTCAGAACAATCGGATAATAGAATTTCTCAGATAATCGAATAACTCACATTATGAATACATTACATATGAAAAATTATAATTTATTACATAATAATTACATATTTTTTAAATACTTTTGTTTTCCTAATCTTTCTAAATTGCATTTTTTTCTTTAAGTTACTGATTCCGCTGGAGTATTTATTGGAATATCAACCCGGATTACTGACATTTGGATAATCGAGGTTCTACTGTGTCTTTTTCGTAATTTCCTTGAAATCTCTCGAAGAGAAATAAGAAGAATTATGGAATCAATGAATGACAAATCGTTTGTAACGTGAATGAAGAATGTTTGATTCTTGTAATATTCTGAATACATACTCAGTATGAATTGAGCTTGCGATTGCTTCTTCTCATTACGTTATTCATCGTCAACGGTATTCTTTGAAAGACTTTTCAGTACATTCGGCACTCAAGAGTTGAGCAAGAAATTAATCAACGATTAACTATTAAATTTTTTCAATAATATTTAATCGCAATTAATGATTACATTCGAACTTCAGTTGTCAATCATAAATAACAATTAAATTTCCACTTTCATTAGTTGCGATGAACGATTAAATAATAAATACAATTAAGAATCAAATTCTCACTTTAATTGTTAATTGTTAATTGTTACTAACGATTAAATTCCTTCTAATTTTAATCTTCAATTGGAGGAATTCATTAACAATTATTTGCTGAAGTTCTTTCTATAGCAAAAATTAATATTTTCTATGTATCTATATAATAATCTTGCAATAATGTATCAAGAGATAACAAAGCCAGTGAAATAATATTATCGTCTAATGTAACGAAACACAGTTTTTTATTATTGTTTATTTAACAAATTTTGAAAGAGTTCAAGATAACTTAATTAGGCTTACAGCTATCTAACTGATATATCCATATGTATAAGTCGCTCTATATTTTGATGATATAAACCAGAAATGTTTTATTTCGATTATATAATATGTATATCTTAACTCTAAAGCGTCGACGATTTATTGCAATTTTATAGTACATCTTAAATTTAAATGAAATTATAATCAAATTCGATGTACTAATTAACAATTGATGATTGATTAATATTAACAACTTTATTAGTTAACACTATTAATCAATTACATCAATCGTGAACTTTTCATCGGTTAATTTTATTAATCGTGAACATAAATCAATCAATTAAATTAAAAATTTGAATTGATTAATGTCCAACTTTGTCGGCAGTAGTCGAGAAAAAAAGTCAATAAAAAAAAAAGTAAAATCAATAAAGGAACAAAATTAAATTCAAAACTAAAATCTCAATTATATTTTTGTTATTCTTATGTTATTTTTACGTTATCTGTACTTTGTTTAACTATGATTAATAAAGATTTATGTAAAAACATTAATTTCAATTCTTGAAACAAGATCTTTTGATATTGCTTGAAAGGAGTTCAAGACAAGTTTAAGTTCGGAAATTTCGATATTTTACAAAATTTCGGATTCGAATTTTGAGAATTTCAAAGTCAGATTAGTTCAAGCTCATCCTTGTTAAAAGAAAGAATTGTATTTTTTCATTTAAGATTTCGTTTTCGAAAAAATCAAGTTTGGAAATTTGCCAAATATATTTAAATTTGATTAGTTTTAAACTGAATAGGAATAAATAATTAATATTCTATCTGTGAAAAATAAAGAATGAGAAATGGAGAATAAAATTTTTTTTCTTAAAACCTTTTCAATAATAGAGTTTGCATTTGTTTAAATAAAAATAAATTTAATAAGAATTTGTGCACATATATTTGCTGAATTTTTTAATTTAGTTTTCTCAAAAACGAAGCGCCTTATAAAAAATTTTTTATTTTTAATTATTCTCGGAATTATTCACTCCTGTTCAATTCGAACTTAATCAAATCTAAGAATATTTGACAATCAAATTTAAGAATATTTGACATCAATACGATTTGAAGCATCGAAAATGGAGAAAAGTTATTTTTCTTTTTGACTTCTTTTTACATGTAGAATTACTAGTGGATTGTATGTAAAACGATCAAACAGACATCCCATATGTATTTTCATTTATAAATACATATTTTTATACTTTTACTTTTTCGAATCTATAATCTGTTTTCTAACTATATATCATGCAACATACGTATTAGTGTGATATTTTAAATATTTTAGAATGTCGTTATAAGAATTATAGAGACAGAAAAATTTTAATTTTTTTTTTAAAGTAATTAAATAAGATAAAATAAGAAAATTCAAATTGGTTTGTAATGAACGTAAGATGATGAGTTACAACAAACTAATAGATCAAATATATCTATATCGACAAAATTATCTCAATTATTGATAAAGTAATATTTATATTAAATTTAGATTAAATATATCTGTATTGACAAAATTATCTCAATTATTGATAAAGTAATATCTAAATATGTTACTCTTATTACAGAAATACGTGCCTTTATTAAAGATCAATATTTGAAAAACGCTTTTTGTACATTCAAAAATATTGTTTTCTGCTCGAAGTTATAGAGGGCGATGGATATTGTATCATGTCATTTCATGTTGATGAAATACCACTTGCATGGAATTTATGATAACTCTTACACTGACATTTGTACTGTGCTTTTTTATGTATTTCTTAAATAAGATAAAAAATTACAGAGAAAAAAGATGTAGATGTAAAAAAATATAAAAAACAAAATTCTTTCTTTGTTCACGATTGCAATGCAGCATGTTGAATAATTCAGGTATATATTGAATGTAATATAGATGTATGTAATAGCTAATATAATATTCATATTGATTAATTATTTCAAGTTTGTTGTGAAATTAAGTATCGTGAATGACAATTTATTCAATAAAACTAATTACACGCGATTTGACAGTGACGTGATATACAATGAAATAAATAGGACTAATTTCAAATAAAAATTTATGCAACGTTTACTTTTTTAGACTAGATTATAATATTGAAACTATTTGTTTTTTAGGTGTTATTTGATTTATATAAATACAACCATATGCAAAATGAATTTAAGTCGAACCTTGAAAATGAATTTAGGTTGTTTAAGTTCACTAACCCTAAAACGTCACGCATAAAAAAGAAAAGTAATTTATTTTTAATATAACAGATTTTAATTAATATTTTAAATATCCTTTTATAAGACAAAAATACATTGTATTTTAATTTATATCCTTTAGTGGTATCGAAAATATACGAATAAAAATCTATTGTTGACTTTAATATATTTAATACATTGCCGAGTAATTTTCAAATTTTCAAATTACATGTAAAAAATACATGTTTAAAATAAGAAAACAATTTTGAATGAATTTGTGCAAATATATTGTTTGTACATGTTGGTGAAATTTGACTTCTATATGATTTATGTTGAGAGTAAGTTGACTCGTGTTACATTGATTTAAGTTTCAGGAAATGCATATCGTTTATGATTTCTTTTATTCAAAGAAATAAGAAAAATCATCAAAAGAATTGAATGAGTAATGTTTTAGCATTATGGATAATTTTTAAAAAAATTTTAGAGATTTCTTATATAAAAATAATTTTTAGCCTTTTTTTTTCTAATCAACAATGTAGTTCCAATATATATTATTTCCATAAAAATTTGCTAATTTTTTTATAAAAAATTTTATTAATACTTTTAATTACATTTTAGTTTTTACATAGATCTCAAAATTAAAAAACTAACTTGCATAATGCTGAATTATCAATGTGCAAATTGGTAAAGGAAAGATTAGATTACATATTGGAACGTATTCTAACAATTTTAATGGAATAATTGTCAAAACTTTATTGTATATCTCGTACATAGTACTATAGTATTATATATTAATGCAATATATTATACTTGCATAGATTCTCAATATTCGACATTTAGATTATTAAGTTTAGAAAATTATTACTTCAACGTTCGTATCATATGTAAAATTTAAGTATATTCGTGATTGGTAGAGTGTTAGGAATTGTTAGCACTCGTATTTTAAATGTGTTCTAACGTGACTCAAAACAGAAATGGCAATATCAAAGAAATCATATAATTTGAATTGATAGTGAATGGGTTAATCTTGTTTGATTTCTAGGACTATAAGTTGTCATTAGATAACTAATTTGGCTTCATGTGTCCGCTTGAAGTTTGATTTCTATCAGTGGTATAAAGGTTTTAGATGCTGGTCGCCCTCTGTATGCACTAACCTCAAGGAGAAACTCTATGCGACCGGTTTTAATAGAATGTATGTAGCTTATTGATTTGATTACAAAGAAATCTATGATTCATTCACGTTTCATAAAGAAATCATTTGATCTAGGATTCATTCACGTTTTAGATCTTATATTTTTGTTACATGTCCTTACTAGAGTTAGAACTAATTTTTTTCTATTGAAAGAAAATATGTAAAAATCCAGGATATAAATATTTTAAGTGAAATCAATGACTATCACAAAAGTGAGATATTTTTAATGATTTGTATTATTAGAATAATATATATATATAAGGTCTTAGGCATAGATAAGTTAATACTTTTTTGTAGAAAACGACCTGCTGCATCGTGTAATACAAAATTACATAATTATACTTTAAAAAATAGTAGTAACCTTCATATCTCACACGTCTGTTTAGAGACAAACTAAGTGTACCAAATTGCTGCCTTTCTAAAGCAGAAAAAAATGCATTTCAAACATTTTTTTCAAATTATGAATAATTTTGGAGATAATTGTATTTATAGATTAAAATGGGACACCCTGTGTATATAGATATAAACATATAAGTATTTATTACTAATAGAATAAAAAGTATTAAATAACAAAAGATAACGTAAATAAATATAATTTGACATTACTATTTATTTTAAGAACGAAGTTTTTAATTCAAGTAATACTTTGTTTTCAATATGTCAAGGTGAATTTAATTAAAAATTTTCTATTTCAAGCGTTTTATCGTTTATATATTGAGCGCGCATCTATTCGTTATTATTGATTACTTTGAGACAGAAAGAAGTAACATTTTATTCAAGTATAGACTATTGGATGTAGTTCATTAAATGTATTTGAAATATCATTTATATCTTACAGAGAATAGAACAATTCGCTGAAATTAAAAGCTTAAATTATTTTAAATATTTGTGTATGAATACTATGCTTGCTATTATTATTGTTACTTTCAATGTGTTAACAGTCACGTTAACTATGTTAGATTTTAACAATTATATGTTTAGATAAATTTAATAAGAAGAAATAAATCATTGAATAAATATGTTGATTACTATTATTATTAATGTTCTTTTGAAAAGAACAAGGATAAGTTTAAATTGAAGTCAAAATGAACATCGAGATCAAGGAAAAAAAAGATAAAAAAGAAATTAGAACATTCGGAATATTGAAGATAAACGGGATGTA